TGAATAGAATTAATAGTGATTATCAGGTTGGTCTTCTGTTAGTGTGTATTATACAATACGTTTTTAGGTCATCACTTATATGCAAGGTTTACATATATAAATATTTATAAGACAAATGTACTCACTCAGTAGTTAGGGCATTTAATTATAAATGAATATTAAAATATGATATTAAAAGAATGCCAAGTAATTCTGAAGTACATTTTCCTATATCCTTCAAACTACTGAAAGTAGATTAGCTATAACACATTTAATACGAACAATACACTAATTTGGCTTTAATATAATCGAAATTTGTACAGTAGACTAGTCATATGATTTGACAAGAATAATTGTAGTTAGCTACATTACAAAAGACAAGAACTAATGTGCATGAAATCCTTTGGTTCTAAACGTTTGTTTCCTATTATTAATTAATAGTATAAATTCTAATTTGATCTCGAACGGTTTATATTCGAATCGAATTCATCCTAATCAACCTGTACTTCCATTATTATGAAATAACTCATTGACTAACCAATATGATATATTCCATGTATTTATAGTCTGTGTACTTTCAAGGGGGAATTACATTTTATATGGTGTATTGCCTCATATTGTAATGAAAAAATTAATTCATAAAGATTAATTCTAATTTGCGTCACAATATCTGTCAACATCCTATCATGAACAAAAATTTTATCACGGAAAATTTCTATATGATTACGTTTTAGATTCATTTATTTTAACACATAGATATTGGTACAAGGAGGCACCAAATACGTATGCGCCACACAAATCTCATTCGATATGTGTGAGGGCTGTGATACTGCCCGAGTGCGTAAACCGAAGCAGGTGGTTTTCTTAGGAGGGCCACTACCCGAGCCTTCAACCTGAAGGTCTGATCCACAGGGCAGTGGATCATCGTAAGGAGATGAAGTGCCGTGGTAGCCGGTGACCAACGATTGGTGCACACGCCATTTGTTCCCGCAGGATACTGGAGCCCATGTGCACCATTCGTTTAGGATCCGGTTAAAGCGCCCGACGTTCGCTTTTCGTCCTCTCAATTTCGTAAACAACGTTTTAGAAGATGCTCTTCATAAATTTTTTGACAAAATAATTGGGATTATTTTATTTTATACCATCTGAACACACAATTGTTCTAATTTGTAAAGATAGCATGACAAAGAAAGTAATTCATTATGCCAATTCAAATATTTAAACTAATTGATTGAAGTTAGACATTAACACCGGTGGATGTTGGCTCAATAGTCAGGAGGTTAAGGATTTCCACGCGAGACCGAATGTCCTAGGTCCGAGTGCCGCGTGCGGAATCGTGGGTTTACACTTCTGAGAAGTCGCATATTAGAAAGAAACGGCCGTCCTGTGAATTTATTAGTGGTGTAACATGTTCATGTCCTTAATCAAGAGAATGAATATTTGGCTAACTCAACTTATTGTTCGAACAATTAAATACATATTTGAATAGTAAAATATGAATAAATGAATATTTAATTAACTCTACATAATCAAAAAAGGTATCCTTCAATGTAAGACCTAATGTCTTACTGTCATGTCAGCATACCATACTAAAACATCATAAAGCGGTATACTGATTAAAATTTTTATAGGTCAGACAACCGTAATAACAAAAAATCAACGTAATAAATAACAGAATATTTGTTGATACATGATAACTAGGCAGAAAGTAATTGGGCTAAAGATTTACGTATATGTGTACTATAGTTATTTTTATTTAGAATTTAGTCACCTACATTATTCAGTCATTAATTCGTAATACCTTGAACGCTACTACCAAACGGTAAATAGATTCAGACCGATAGACACCAAATGAGTAAGTTCGCTTAACGTTAATTCTGGCTATCCCGAGACTACTAACGATATACTTTTAACTGAGCTAGTCTTTCAAATGAAGCACAATGGATCCATCACGTAATTTAGATTAGGTTAACAAAACTCTTGAATAGATAACAACTAGTCTACATAAGTTATTCAGTGGCTATGTCAGTCACCATTATGCCTTAAAGATTATTTTGATTTTTCTTCTTATGATTTTATCAGCTAGTGGTTCATCATGGCCAAAGTAACTCGATAAATATCTTAAATGCTCAACTGATGTACCACCTATGTACTCACCCGTTCTAGATAATGTATTTCTGTAAAATAGTCCATGAACATCTTATATACAACATGATTCAGATTTATGTTAAACACTATTTGATTTTTCGCTCAAAAAGATAATTAATGTTTGCCTGATATCATTTTACGTACCATATTGAATTCGGACATCAAGTCTTGAACCAATACAACCGTAATTTAAGTCAGTAAAAAGAATGAGTGCAGTTTACCATCGTTTACCAATCATATGTTTTCGTAAAATTGTGATGAATATCTTTTACAGTGAATGAATAAAAACGACAAATTCACATCTCTTCAACACAAGATGGATGCGACGTGAAGCACAAATATTAACCACGATTTTCTATAAACCGAACGATTTTATTGTCTTGAAATCATTTTTATTGTAGCGATGTACACAATTATCTTCTCACATTTAAAAATTAATAACTGTGCTAAAGATGTGACCTTTGGATTCTAGATCAGAAAGTACGAAGATTTCCCAGTCAGCGTAAATCCTGGCACAAATGAGCATTGGTCCAAGTTGCCATATCTTAATGGTATGATGAGATGAATGCTAAAGGAGCGAAATACTCATAGCAGTAAAGACAGTGAGAAAATTAAAAGTTGAGAATATATTTCGTAAAGACGAAATGAAAAGGAATGAATGAAGGATTACTGGAACTCAAAATCTAAGGATAAACAGTAAATACATTCGCGAGCAATATCATCGCGAAGACTATAACCAGGTAGTCTGTACGCATCAATATGACTCAGATCAACACCCAATGACTTCATATGCTGATGCTGTTTTAATTTAACCCCCTCTAGCTTACTTCCAACTTACTCCCTGTCGATGTATCATAATTTATTTCAAATCATGATTAGAACCGTATGATGAATTTATTTGAAATAAGTACTGTTTGAGGTTGGGTGCTAATAAAAAAACTAATTAAAGCTACGAACATTGATAAGACGCTAGGATGTTTAGCTGCATATTCTGCGCTCTGATAAACAAGTTAGTCGCGGAAGAACTAACAATGGGAACTATTTTGTTCTATCCACATTCACACTGGTCGTTAAAAACCAGAAATTGCAGTCAGTGTGTAGAAGAAATCGTAGTCAATTTGACAAATAAATGCTTTCATTGTATTTTCCGTTTACCTCATGAAAAACGTTGTTCTTCCCAGTTACTAGATATACTTAAGTAGAAGCGAATGTTATTAGTTTATCCTCCTTAAGATCAAATACCCAAATAATAGTCGTATGTCTGTCAATCATGAATTTCGAGAAAACATTTCCCAATTTTCGAGGGTGACCAGTAACCGACAGTGTCCAACCGAATGGAGGGAGGAATAATTATTACCGACAGCATCAGGTGACAGGAATACTGTATCGTGGATTGATTGAAGTCGGAAATGTACATTATAAATTTCCAACTTAATGATCTGAGGGTATCATGATCCACAAAATACCGAGGTTTGATTTATGTAATTTAGTGAGTACTAGTGGGAAGTAGCAAGCTAGGAGTCAGTTGCTCTGTGCTCTTCGGTTATTGATATTTTTTTCGTCGAACGTATTAGAAATTAATTTGTTAAATTTGATAAGATTCTTCAGCTGAAATACCAGTCACATTGTTGTATAGGATGTACAGACTGATGATGAACACAGTCTAGATGAAAGGAACTAGTTACAAAAATGATCCAATGGATATAAATACAAGACTGAACATGATTTATATCGATGACTTCAGGTTATTGGAAGCCTTTTTCATCACTAGCTAACATCAGACATGAAAACTATTGGAAACTAGGATGTACTCCAATTCAAAATTTCTTAGAATTAGACACCTATAATTCATAAGTAAATGACACACTTTCAAATTTAACAGTGACTACAACACAATTTATCCAATGAGCAAAACTTCATTAGTTCGTTTAATACGCGATAAGCTGATAATACATTTCAAAGCAAATTAACAATTCACACCTGATTATTACTGAATTTGACAAAAGCAAATATTTTAGTTTAGTTTTTGTATTTGGTTCAATGCTCTACGATTTATAAATGTTCTCTCCAGTTGATTACAAACTGCGGTGAAAACCATACTTACTTAGTTACGCTTGTTACCCCTTAATAGTAGAGCATAGGCCATCTACAAGCATTCTCCATCCAACTTTGTCCTGGGCAATCCTCTCCAATTGCTATTCATTCTTTTCATATCTGCTTCCAATTCTTGACGCAGTGTGTTAATCAGCCTTCCTCTTATCCGCTTCCCTTCAGGATTCCAAGTTAGGGTTTGCCTCACGATACATTTTGATGATTGCCGTAATTTATATCCTATCCACTTCCAGTCTTTTCCTAATTTCCTCTTCCTTTTATTCAAACAGTACAAAGTATTTAATTCAATTTGAGATCGATTAGACCATCTTGTTGTTGACATTTTTAAAACACGCGTTCTTCAATCCACTGCTAGCCATATTCCATCTATTCTATAGTACAAAGTATTGTTAATATAAAGTTGTATTGTGTAGTAGTGTTAGTGAATCTTTGTCAACAATTACGTAACTGAAATTCTATCACTACTTATAATAGTGACAATAGGTATATTATAGTAATTCATATTATTATCATTATTACTATTACTATACAAATAGTGATGATGACAGAGGAATGTCAGTCTTTTTGGTCAAAGAAGAATCTAATATCATTATCTATAATTGGATTAAACTGTATCAGTTTACTATACTACCATAACATCGCTTAACAATGATAATACTACCATTAATGTTAATAATAAATGTCAATACGAACCCCATACTAAATAACAGCCACACAGCTGTGATAAAAGATAAGACATAGAAAAGTAACAGTGATTTGTTCCGAAATGATTTATGAAAAGATATGCACAGTGCTTTCTACTTATTAAAAACGTGCTAAAAATATGTGTAATTTTTAAAACAGAGAAAAAAATTAAGGCACTTTGACCAAGCTCAATGAATAAAAAAACAGTGCAAAGAAAATTCCATCTGTGTATGACTCTATAGAAGTAGAAATAATAATTTGATTACCAGAAAGAAAAGTGAGTAAAATAATACACAAAAAAAGTTATTGAATTTCATTAGGAAAAGATCAATATTAATGAAAGCATATGGTAAACAAATTAATAACAAATTAATCGGATGTTAGCTTGTTTTTTCTCTTTTTATTGATTCATGTCTCCCAGTCTGAGCCATCTGAGCCAATATCACCTGGTACAGAATTGGCATCAGATTCTTCTCCACTATCATTACTACACATTCGATTACGTCGCATTTCCATTGCTTGAGCAAGTGATTGTAATAAATCGAATCCTCCTCCACTGGCAGTTGGATTTGCGCCAGTACTACTACTTCCACTATTGCTATTACTAGGTTTCACAGGTGGCCTAGACACACCTTCACCAGGTGTAATCTAAAGTATAAAAAAAGAACAAATACAAATAAGGAAGAAATCATCTGGTTATACTAAACATCTATCATGGAGCAAAAGCAAAACAATAAAGAAAGACCATAAGTCAATCTATTGGTAAATATTGCCTAATACAGTTTTCATGAAGGCTAATATTAATGAATGGATTAGAAATTCAGCGAAACAAAATCAAAGTTCACTACTTTTACTTCATTTTATTATGCAGAATTCAAGTTGTGTAATGACTGTAATCAATGAATATACTTATTTGAAGCACTGTAATAGAAATAAAGTCCTACACTGTAATAATGTAATGAACGGATGATAACGCAACTATGTCCAAGAATAAATTAGTTCATAGTCAATAATTTTTACACACTATTTACTTAGTTTACACATCTTATAATTTAGAAAAAATGAAAATAAGTCTTCTTTCAACTAATATAAAATGGGGATAGTAAAAGGTGTACATTAAATGTAGAAACAGAATCAAGCATGTACACTGTGAAAACTACGTCAATAGGTAGATGTGTGACCACGGTCACAATGTGGGACAAAACAGAACCCTAAGCAGCAATATTTCTTTCAATCATGTGTGGAGCTGGGAATTCAATCACACACAGCTTCCAGACATTAAAATACATATCCTTATCACTTGTACTTACTGTTTAATAAGCTAATATCTACAAATATCAATGAAATCTTATTTTTAAAGAAGTAAGAAACAAATATACTACTTTGTTACGGACGCTATTTAACTCAAGGGCCACATAAAGCTGCTATATGTGAAGTTATCGGGTTCTACGTTGCATATGACCGACTAACTCTATTGATTAGGCAAAGAATATTGACGCCAAAGAGTAATTACTGCTGTAATTTCCCAGAAAACTATCGTAAAGATAAAATAATAAATGTGACCTTGTGTAATTTTGAATTTACGACGATGGAATCTTAAAGAGTGAACAAACTGGGAAGTTGGTTTCGTGTTCACTAAAAGTGAAATATCGGAAATATGAGAATACTACTGTGCAGTAGTCCTTTCAGTATTCATTTCATGAATATAAAAGATGAATTCTGTAAATTCAGTATAGTTGAATATATTAATATTTTATTAATTTGACAGAGGCTATCTTTTCAGTCCTAACAGATGTCAACTAAACAACTAAAGTAACTAGGAAACCTATACTTCATAGTTAGATTTACCCATCATTTATATAGTCATAAAGATTTAAGATAAAATAAAAACTGAATTACAAGTGGATTGAATTTGTAAATTCCAAGTTTGATAATATAAAAACAATAGCTTCAAGATTCATATGATAATGTATTTAATTTTATTACATCTAGATGACAAGAAGAACAAACATTCATGAGAACTAATGCACTGAAATAGCTCACTTTAAAGTTTTAGCAACTAATCCAAAAACTGTTAATGAACAGATTTTGTGCTCAAGATTGAAGGTTATGACATTTTTAAAATGTATTTCTGGAATTGCCAAGATAGAAATTTGCATTCCATGAAACGTATTTGATATACAGTAGAATAGCAGCAGCAACAATAAACATGTCTCTAATGGAAAGTATTGGGTGCATAAGATTAGAATGGAATTTGTATATCATCCCAGGACATAACAACCGGTGAGGAAGTGTTGGATACAACCTCGGCGAATGATGATACTTGTGTAGTCCTAGTGTACTTTTGTATGAGAACCGGACAGTTGCTAAACCACGGTAGACCTCAGGATGTTAAAGGTAGTGGAGAACTCATTTCTGTAGCTTATCAAAGTACTTTTACAGACCACTTAGAATGTCATTAAATGCAAGTGAAAGCTGGTTGACAACTAACTCTTATTCGTTAAAGAACAGAACTGGAACCCAAGATTCTTATAACTTTAAAAAATATTCATTAACATAATCAAATTAAAATGGTAAGTGAATAAGTAAAAAAAAAGAAAAGAGTGAATCGATAACAAGAGAAGTGACGATATACAGAAACTCACCTTACGTAGGTTGCTTTTTTGAAAGGACATAATCTGTGATTGAAGATCAACAGTAAGACCTGTCGTAGACTTTGGAGGAGCATTTGATGTGCATTCTTTCTCAGCCCCAGTGGTGGGACATGCTGGAGGAGGTGGTGGAGGAGCAGCTGCGGGACTCGGGAATATGGGTGGGGGAGGTGGTGGCGGTGGAGCAGGGATTTCATAAAGAGGGGGTGCAGGCAGAATAGGTGGTGGTGGTGCGACTGGCTTAGGAGCTACTTGTGGAACAGGTGGTGGGGGTGGGTGTTGTATTGTAACCGACTGGGAAGGTGTAACAGAACCAAGATTTTGTCGACGGGGTGCGGAGGGTGGTGGAGGTGGTGGTGGTGGTGGTCTAGGAGGTGGAACATTAGTAGCTGGTATGTTACGTCTATCACTCTGAGAACCGGTCAGTTGTCGTTGTATCTAAAAATAAAAGAAATATGTATGATAAATTAGGCATAAGTTAAAACAGGTATATATTCCTAGTGACTGAAAAGGGTGCTATGAAATGCATACAAAAATTATTATGGAATATTTTCAGACCATATTACTGATAGACAGGATATTAATGGATTTAGCAACAATTACAATATATTGTGCACAACTATAGTCATCATTTATCACAGATACGAAAGTATACGACTAAGTAGCACCTAGCTAAGTTGTTGGACAAATAAAATAGAACAAAGATATATGAAATTTACTTAAGTTATATCCCAACGCAACTAACTAACACAGACAAAGATGAGCCAAACTGAATGCAATATAGGTAGAATGTTAGCTCCGTAAATAAGTTCAAAGCTTAAGTTAAGCTATATGTGCATCATCAGAAGACAATTTACTTGAACAATAATAATATTTAATTTGTTGCAATATATTGAGCTATAAATCATTTTTCTAGTTATTTTAAACCAACTGATATAAGAGTTGTATATCTCTTAAATTCGTAGGTGGTGTATTACCTTCAGACTATTTTGCTTGACTAAATGCTGTAAAACTGTTTAAGGATTTGAGGGCGATGACATCGTTATTCCAGTCCCAAATAAATGCCCGCAATCCATATATATCCTCAGAAATCTGCTGCAATTAGTCATTAAGCGTAGTTTTCGGCAATTGGTTTACTTGAATTTAATTATCTTCTTGAATGTGAAGTCACCGTGAATGATAACTTCTTTACTGTAATCCAGAGTTAGGATAACCGTTATAACAGAACGGATATTATAAAAATTGGAAGTGGGTTTTTCGAATTATTATTATGAATTTATGGGATATTTATTAAGCAACCGGATTAACGTATTAACTACTGTTAAACAACTACCCATTTTAATATGTAGTCAGTATGTTATTTACAGTCTCCACTTCCCACAGTCAGCTTTGGATTGTTCATGAATAATTGTTATTTTTTACTTCATAGTGCAATGTGGTTTTAAATTTAATGTTAGTGAAGGCTGATTACCGGCATCTGAACTGAAGGGCAGTGTAGAGAGGGAAGCTACAGGACTGTGGATCAACAAGGACACAGAAGTTGAATCAAGGTTACTAGTCCTAGTTGGACACAATTAATCCGAGATGCTAGGTCATAGAAATCGGGGTTCTGATTGGTGGTTTGTTACGCGTTATTAAACAGCGAACATAGGTCATAACAATAACCTATAATGGATGAGACAATTTTTATTCCGTAGTTTAGACTATTCATTGATATAAGCTCAGATAAAACACTGACTTCTTCATAGTTTTCATTGTTGTGATACTGGATTTTGATAAACAATATTTATTCAGATAAACTTAAATTAACTTTCCAGTTATTAATGGTATTTACTTAATCACTTGAAAGTAGATCACGGTAAGAGACTAACACATAAGCTGGAGATAATCAATGAAAAACGTTTAAAAATTTATAATAAAGACGTATCTAGCATGATATCGGTAGTATTTGGATTTCATGATAAGTAAATTTATAGTTGGAGTTACTGAGTTTAAACATGGCAATTTTTTGATGTTAACTCTAGTCTAGCGAAAGCGATCACATAAACAATCATGTAATGTATGTTCATGTAACAGTTCCTCATAATATTTTAGAGGAATTTATAAATAACCATAACTTAAGTGCAAAAAAACACTTGTAGATTATATGATTAAATTCAATACATTGTGCGAAGTGAATACTTTATTTTGATCATCAGTTACCTTAAATCATGGAAACGACGCTCTTCAACAGAGTCAGTAATGTATTCGCTCAATGTTACAGACTATTAACATTATTAACACAATTAAATTATTCATATGCTCACTCATACTTAAGGTTTTCTGTATACTGTATGCTTAGTCGTCTTGCAATGACCAGTCAAACAAATAGAAAATTAGTGATAATTGTTATGGACAGTAAATTTTTTTTTCAATTACACAGTTGTTTGGTGTTTTGAATAAATGTTATTATAATATCAGAAAATATAGGTATATGGAATCATTAAGATGGAAGAGGTAAGAGAATAGCGGTTAATACAACCAGTTTAATCTCAGTAAAATCAAATATATACACTCAAAGTGTCCTGGTCAAATATGCAGTTTATGAAAATTTACATAAATGTACACGTTTTTTCGATAAATCAGTAACTAAGTTATGTTAATCATCTAGTAATAATATGTATAATAAATAGATAAACAAAGAACGACGTAGAAACTTGGACGAAACTGAATAGGTTCACAATATACATAGTGAATATGATAAAATGAATATAAAAGGCTGGTGGAATTTACTAGAATAAGGTATCTAAAATACATTAAAATAGTTTATTTATGTAGATGTATAACCTATGGGTTTCTTACTAAAATTTCTTGACTTTTTATTAATCAATCAGTTCGATGACGTAAAAACTGCCACAAATTCACATCAATCCATGTTACCACATGATCAATTATCTTCTGATTTATTGCATTGTCTTAACTCATTAACACGTTAGCGCTGTTGATACGAACCATTTTGTAGGGAAATTTATAAGTAGGTACACTGAATTTTATATATGGAGTTTTATCAAGTGAAGCAGATTCACATAATAACAATATACAACAACTTAAACAAATGCAATTTAGACCTGTGCATGAAGTAGGAATAAAAGCAATATTAAATCACGTCGAGTGAACTACGTTCTGAATATTAGTATTATTATTAGACTAAGATGAAAAGAGTCGCACACAAGGTTATTAGTAATTATAATAGATCCTCAGTTTAGTTTGCCGATTATTCTAGTACCTACTTATCTAAAATTGAAAATATAACACGGTGAATTGTATATAGATGTTTCTACTTTTATTTGACAATCGGTAACTCACATACAAATGTATGTACGCAGCTTTTATCCGTACATTTTATGTGAGGGTTACTGATAATACTCAGCTGTCTAAACGGTAGGTACGATGCGATTAGAACCTCGAACTTAATGGTTGAAAATCAAGTTAAAAAGATCAACCAGTGTGATCAATAAATAATTTGATACAGTCTACACTACGTAAGTGTTTAAGTATTTGGTATTTTCATAGTTATCCCTGTAGAATTAAAGTGTATTGATTTTAAAAGAAATAAACTTAAATCTAGCTAGCACTGTAGATAGGGGTGCTACTAATCGTACATACAAAAAATGAACACGTACATGATCTGAGAACGATAATAACCAATAAAATGTTCATATTTTTAGAACTAATCATCACAGATAGACATGAATTCATACCATGATGTAAACACACATATATATGGCTCCAGCCGTTTCCTATTGATTAAATTTTGTAAAGCTAAATAGTTGCAGTTGAGGACTTAGTTAATGATTCGTTTAATTGTTAAAACATTTATTCGATTTTCTACCATTGAGTTATAAATTTGAAATCTGCTTCAGCTAATTTGGATTAAACAGCTATATAACACTACGAACGTTTACACTTACACAGAACGTGTAGCACAAAGCTGAGTGCATGAAAATGTAATTGATCGCCAGATTCTAATTATCTATTATTACATAAATTCAGTAAAGTACAGTCATTTTGCAAAATATGAATAAGATTTTAGTTACAATAATGTGATTCATTTATACTTTTTTTCTGTGATTTAACACATCTCAGTGATTTTAATCTTGTCGACTATAAGACAAGATAAAAAATCAGTCATTTAACTATAAAATTTGATTTGAACAAGTTGGCAAAGTCACATGAACATAACACTTACATGAATTAGTGTTCACTGTAAATCAATATGTAAAGACGTTGATCACTACTGTAATATTCTATGCAGTAACAAATAGGTTTTATAAAGTTTTTTTCAGGATGTAGAGATAACAAATTTTCGAAAATTCTCAGGTAACGAGAATAATAGAAAATTGAATCATCCTGCAGTGGAACAGATGTCATACATATATCTATTATTTTCGAAAGAATTCCTTCTTGATAAACTTCTAGACCATTAACCCGACATATATATGATCCCATTAAAAACACGGTACTTTTAACCTGAATCGATAAATCTCAGAAATGATGTATACAAAACACTATCAATATATATCATCATCATTTACCTCTTCCAAACCACCATGTTCACGGGCGAAATTGTAAACAAACGTTCGTTCGCTTGGTATATTCATAGCATCTTCACGTCCAATAGCACGCAGTATGTTGCGCATGATTGCGCTTTCTTGTGAAGATATATCAAATGTCTTGGCTTCTCTGTCATAGCCAACATGTTCAATATGACGAAAATTTGAAGGATTACTGATATCTTTTGATGTAAGCTTCTGCTATATAAAAATATATACATGTACATGAATGAGAACTATAATAATAACAATTACTAATCAAGCAAAAATAAACAATTGTACATTGAATATTCTTCAAATAATTTTAAAGAAATTATAAGCAAACGAATAAATAATAAATAATGGTCAATCATTTCACATCCCCTATTGACTAATAAGTCAGTAAGGTTGAGCGTTTAGTTTTGATTTACTGGGCTGAATTGAAGACAGATTAATGGCAAAAATTTTTGAGCTTGAGTTTTAACGGATAAATACAACATATAGCGACGCGTTGCATCCAATTTATTGCTCGACGATGATGCGTAGTGTCGCAATTTAGTCTGTACACGACCGATCCTTACGGAATCCAGCTCGTTTGTCTCGAAGTTGGGCGTCTACTGCGTCTTTCATCCGGTTCAGCAACACTCTGTTGAAAACTTTTCCTGGTACTGACAGGTGTTGACAGTAGTGTGATGCTTCTGTAGTTCTGGCATTTGCTCAGACCTCCTTTCTTTGGTATCGTGATGAGGTGTCCTTCTTTCCAGTCCATCGGCACTTGTTCTTCCTCCAAATCTTCTTGAATAGAGTGTGAAGCGTGTTTGCAGTTACTTCAATGTCTGACTTCAGTGCTTCAGCCGGTATATTGTTAAGTTCTGCTGCTTCCCCACTCTTGATTCGTCTGATGGACATCCTGATTTCTTCGATCTTTATTGGAGTGACATTCATAGGAAGGTCTCTGTGTGTTGCTTCGATATCCGGTGGACTCAATGGAGCTGGTCAATTCAAGATTTCCTCAAAATGTTCTACCCATCTGTTCTTCTGTTCTTGAATCTCCATGATTGGCTTTCCTTCTTTTTCCTTTACTGGTCTCTCTAGTTTACCATATCTGCCTGTTAGTTTCTTCGTTGTATCATATATATTTGATAAACTGTTAATAACTATGAAATCGCACCATAATTTAATTGGATCGTCATGCACCCCATTTCTAACCCAGTTCCATTTAAGACAGTATAACGATGTTATAAGCTGTTGAATGACTTTAAACAATTATCAAAATTTACTGTTTCAATCAATTACCTGATTTTGTCCTTTCATACACACTTTTTTATGCCAACAGAACTAATTGATGATTGATTAATGTCAAATTAAGCATTGAAATACTGATTTTAGTGAATAACTAATTTCTTGTAAAGAGTACCAAGCTGTTTTATACTACTTATGTCAGATGATTGAATTTTTGCTTATTATCGCTATTAATTTAATTGTTCTATGCTATAAGTGATTCACTAGAAAACAATAATTACTTATCAAAATTTCGAATGACATTCCTCTTAAGAATGTGACTTTTCTTACATACACAAACGTATGTATGCAAAGAACTGCTTGTATTATATAAATAAAGTATATATTCTTTTTTACTCATAGAAATGTTCTTTTCATAAAAATCAAGTTATACCCCAAGCAACAAAATTATTCAAATAATAATTCTAGGAATGCGATGACTCAGTAAATTTAAGAAGCAAGCAAGTAGTCAATTATTAGTGTAATATCATGTTATAGGTTATTGTTTAACTGATTTACAACGAATGTCAGAAATTTAATTTTAAGCAAATCCACTCAAACCTATGCATAGATTGAAGACATTCAAGCTGAACGAAATCATAAATGAGAATATGTCTCTATATAGAACAAAATTTATAATGAAAAAAGACAAAAATACATCAATGTGAGTGAATTAGTCTAGTGAATTAGAACTTCAAAATCTCAATGTCCTATATTTACTTATATTTAAGCACATGAATATTAGTACAGAGGGGTACCAAAATGCGTATGAACCAAGCTTCATTCTATTTGTGTGAAGGATGAGATACTACCTAGTCGCCCAAACCGAAGCAGATGGTTTACTTAGAGGCCCACACCTGTAGTCTTTGACCTAGAAGTCTAATCCACAAGGCAAAGGAACAACGTAATAAGATGCAGTCCCATATTAACCGGTAACCAACAATAGATTTATACGCCATTTGTTTCCATAGGATCCTGGAGCCCATGTGCATCTTTGGTTGGGAAACAGGGTTTTCCAACTCCACTAGGTGGATCCCTCGTACCCATCAACCTGGTTAGGACGCCGGACATTCGCTTTTCATGCTCTCAATTTCGTAAACAACACCCCCGCAACGAGAACGGGTAGAGTAGAACTTCCCTGATAGTGGTTGTATACGCGCGACCATGTGAGAGTATTTCGAGATGGAGAGAGAACTCTCCCCACCCTCGACCGTACCAGGGCATTTGATACTATTCATACATAATTATCAATTTAAGCAAAATTCAAATCCATTTGTAACTAAATTAGAAAAATTTATATGCATTGGATTTTTTATTATTACATATGATCTATGATGTGATAGAAAAAAATAAGTTTTATAACTAATATACTAATTTTTACAAGTTTTCAGCTTTGCTGTGCCTAGCAAAAACTAAGAGTTAAAAGTTGTAAGGTCAGAATATTGTGAAAGTGAACTGCTACGGCATATTCGACTTGAAATGATTGTGTTTATTCTAGGAATTATGTGTTGCTAAATCAAATACACTTTTATACGCAGTACTATACAGATCCAACTAATAGTTGAACCTGATTAACTGTGGTTCACTGATTAAAATAGACTTTATATTACTGAATTGTGGCTCAACTGACCCTACTTTCATTTAAACAATTAGGTAATATTTCTAACTTACATCTAAAAAAGAAATACGATCCTAATCAACTTGAATACAGACACCACTATTCAGTAGTTCGACAGTATCGGAAATAAAACAACCATCTGACGAAAGATAAATGAATACGGAAAACATTTGCACACAATTTCAGACTGACATTTTTCATGTATGAATAATTGTCAACACAGATCGACAGGTTGGAGCTGTTTTAGAAATGAATGCTTCAATAAATCCTACACAGAAATTTGACTTAAAAACTGAAAGTAAATAAGAGAATTACCTATAGATTTCAAAATGGAAAAGAACTACAGCAACTAATGAAAACTCACGTTACCTTTTGAAAGTATATTAGGATATTTGATTATTTTAAAGCCATTAAGAAAGATAAAACTAACCATAGATTGATTGCTGAGATTTGGTGATCTATATGAACTATATTCAGTTAAGTGTGAGAAAAAAATTATAGACAGGCTATAAAATTAGACACTCATTGATTCAACAAAGTACATCAGAATCTCAAAAGGAAGCCATAACTAACAAATGACTCAATGAATTTGTCGATGATAATTTAAATTTAACTAATATTCCAATAGAGCTCACTCTGAAACGTGAAGTTGAAAATTTGATACACGCGACTAAACTATATAAGTTGCACAATTGAGGACAGATTTAATTTAATGATAACAGGAAGTATAGAGTTGATAAGCCTAATTAACTAATGATCAGTAATATATGGTATAAAGATTTGATGAACTACAGTATCTGAACACACACGAAGCAGACAACTGTTATCTGATTGTACACATTGATGGGACTGATTAGTAACTATCTTATATGTGACTATCTATTAAACATGTCTGCGAAATACAAATGTTTCTTTTTAACACAAACTTGGCGACAATGTAGGCTTAAAAAATATTCGATTGCACTTACGTCCAAAAGATGGTCCAATAAACCAAGTTAACAACTTGGATGGTAATAAAATTAAAGATGTTAAAAATATTCTAAAAGTATTTTACATTGACGGCGATTATGGATTAGATCAGACTGTATAAGTTTAATAACTAGATGTAAAACAGTAGTGTAGTGCGAACAGACATAAGTAGTATGTAGCAGGAATCGGAAGTGAAACGCTTACCAGTAAAAGATTGAGATTAAGAAAAGAGGGAGGAAAACAGAGAGCAATCGGAATAACAACAGGATTTGAAGAAGGATGTAACATGTAAAGGATAACTTAAGGAAGACATGCGAATGATGCATTTGATTTATGGTTTTTCATATTTTGCAAAGGCAGTGTTTGATTTTGTATAAAACAATAAATTGGTTTATCGTACCTAAGTTTTTGTTCACTACAATAGGACTTGGATAATTTAGTATTTTTCTCTTAAAAAAAATAGTTGCAATATTATTAAACTTAATTAAGCTTAATACGTTAGTACATTTTACAAAACAAATAAGTGTGGTTGCATATAATTGCCAATAAATTAATAAAACTAAGAAATACATAGATTGCATAATTATTAACGTTGATAAAATACACTAGTCATTCTTATATTATAGTGTTTCATTAAAAAAAAAACTAATTATCGAAACAGTCCTTTTGTAATGAACAAAAACATAGGTGGGGACAACCAAGTGTATTTTAACACAAAATTACAGAGTTATTTGGTAAAATGTGAAAACCACACGTTCAATCCTTCATTTGCAAAATGTCCATTAATTATATCAGACTTTCTTGTTCCTTCATTTTCTTACCAATTACTCTCCGTCCCCTTTCTCTTCTATTCGATCTTCCCAACCTTCTGCTCCCAAGCCCTTCACTTTTGACTGGTGTTACATACTACTTATGTCTATCAGCATAAGTAATATATACCACACTTTAAATATCTTTTTTAATTACCAATCATCACAAAAATAACTTCTATTCATAGAAATTCAATTAAAATTCCGATTTAATTTATAATTTAAAGTAATACAGATTCATGATAAAATGTTTTTGACATGTGTGAATCGATGCAATAAGATAACTGACTTGCAACCATTGAGTAGTCGATTGAAGCTAAGTTATATTTAGTATTATTTTGTAAAATTCAATAATATATCTGGTACTTGGATGAATAAATATAATTCAAAAATCTGTACATCAACGTTAAGTCAAAATCGCCACACAAAATTCAATTTCAAGTTGGGTTTATTTTTACAAATGACTAAGTATCTCATGTACTAGGATAGTAACAAGTGTAAAAAAAATTAGCAAAACGAGAATTACTCCGCTGGTAATGATAATCAACAATGAGATGGTAATAAGTGTGATATTGTAAACAACCCATAAAATACTATTAAATATCTATCTTGGTACGAATTTCGATTCTCCCAATTCTGTTATTATCCCAATTGTTCTCTGGTTCCCTTCATGTTCTTTTCAATCCAATCTCCTGCTGGAAGGCATTCCACTCCCGATTGCTGCTACAAACTACTTATACCTGTTAGCACACCACACTCTGTCGCTGCTAAGATTCGAACCTCGGTCAGTGCAGTATACACCACAATACGACTAAGTGCTCATAATCTTTTCGAGGGATAATATATTAACTGAATCCATTCAGGGATGGTTTCAAGACTAAAGTTAAAAGCAAACAGCGGACACTTAACTGATAAAGCGAGTTCGCGTACTCGAAGTCAATCTAGCGGAGTTGATAAACCATTGGTACATAAAGACTACAGAATACTACATAAACAGACTGGATGTGAACACAATTCGATCACCCGTTACAGTGAGAATTTATATGTCGACGTTGACTGACTGCCAAGAGGATACGACCTTTGAAGTAAAGATTGATAGAGTTCCTACGAGAAAACCATCTGTGTTGATTGCGTGCTCAGGGGACGTTAGATTTCTCTGATATATCGAAGAGAATATCGACAAATTAATGACTTTGGAACTGTTTTATGGATTGATAATACATTTTTTATTGTATAATTATTAAATATCTGGATTATTACATTACTAAATTCCCTTTATTTTACGCTTAAGTTGAATTTATCGACTATTAAGATAAGTTTGACCATTCCTCAATTTCGATAATGCAATGTGAAGACGAAGGTTATCAGAATTGTGATACATTTTCGCAATACATCCTTAATTGTATTGTCCGTTCATAAAAAAGATACACTTTCTCTTGGTTTTAATTTTTCTGTCCCTACAACATAAATCTCTGAATTGACAATCAATGCCCAATTCGAAAACCTCTATGATCAATTGAGTACTTTAGTCCCTTCAATTCTTGGAGAAGCAATCTTGGTTTGAAGCTAAACTAGTGGGTATAGTGAATCAGTTTCATTCTTCTGGACCAAAGCAGAGAAGTGTATTAACTTCTCAGCACTTCAAATCATTAAAAGAATTGCGAAATAATACCGATATTATTATAGTTAAGCCCGATAAAGAAGCTGGTGTTGTTATTATAAGTCCGATTACAAAAATAAAATGGAATCCATTCTCAGTCATAAAAGCAATTTTATGGCTGATGTTGACTCCGATGGATCACGTAAATTAAGAAAGTAAACTCGAATCTAATGAATTTGTTAAACATGAATGCTATTAACAAGGATGAGTTTAATTTGTTGGAACCTATGAGTTCGGTGTATCCTAATTTATATGGATTACCAAAAATTCATAATCCTAATACCCCCTTACGACCAATTCTATCAGTGTCGGTCACCTACACACAACCTTGCAAAATGGCTTACAAAAGTATTAAACCCTATCCAAAATCAATTTTGTAAGTATTTCTTGATTGACTCATTTGGATTAATTAAGTACTTGAAGGACATGAATATAAAAACTATTGATATTTTATGTGACTATATCTCACTGAATAACCTTGCATTGTCACTTCCTGTTAAAAGTCTTAAAGATTTATTATTATTGTGTACTGACAATGTAAAATTCACTTTTGAGGATGAGTACTTTCGACAAATCGATGGCGTAGTTATGGGTAGCCCTTTAAGACCCCGAGACATTTGGTTGAAACGGGTTATAAGACTGATATCAAGTCAGCGTTCGTAGTGTTGTACAAAAGCCTTCAAGGACGTATACTGAAGTTTATTGAAGCCATGACTATACGAAAACTGAAACCCCCTTTATGTGTTCAAAAACAATTTGTTCTTAACCTACCCTGGTACTACTGATAATGTTGAAAATAAAGAGCCAAGTAAAACATTTCCAAGTTGCCTCTGTTAATGCTCAATAGCAACTTTAATAAATGCGTATGAATACTATTTTATGGTTAAATTAGCTACAGCAGGTGACTACTCAACTGAGTATACACTATAAGCAAGTGAATGAAGTAAAATTCACACAAAAAATTTCAACGACAATTACGAAATTTCCTAGCTATGAAGATAGGAGGCTGAAAATAAAACATGTTATAACGAAAGTCATTCATCAATTAAGTACTAACACAAATTAATTGCTGACAAAAGTATTGAATATTTGACATAACAATCGTTATCTTCACTTGAATGTATTTTAATATTCAAAAGCTATTTAAGAATATTAGGAGTTAGTCAGCAGCATGGAAACAAAAAACAAGCCATAGAAATACAGGATAATAAACAGGGACATACAATGAATGTTGAATCATACAAGATGTGAACTCACCGAGTTACTTTCAAGAGAAAATAGGTTGGTTAGTATCTAAAATTTATTGGCAGAGTACAACGCAAATATCAAAAGTGAAAACACATCTGAGTAAGATATGTAAATACGAGTTACAATGATCAATAAGGCTTTTCCTGAAAATATAGATGATATTCAAGTTAATTAGACTGATTCATCACAAACAAACCGTTAAAATATTCAGGGAGACAAGAGAGTTAATTAATCAACTACAAAAACCCCTAATTAATATTACTGTCATTACTACTAGTAACCAATTCAGTGTGGTTCGGCATCGAACAAGATTAAAAGAGAACATAAACATAAAATACATATGTAATATCCCAGTCGGCGGAAAGACTAAATTTTTTGACGTTTTGTGACTCAGCGTAAGCCACTTCTTCAGAGAACAAATAGACAAATTAAATTAACCCAAGTTTAAATAGTAGTTAGATTATGTTAGGTTAATGATAAGTAGTTTACTGATAGAAATAATAATAATGATCATGATCGGATAGTAAAATGAAGTCAAAAATTCAATTTCCACTTAAAAATGCACCAAAAATGTATTGACCCTAAGTCAAATAAAAACTAGTTTGTCATAAATTTGTAGAACCTACCCCTAAATTGAATACAGAACGAGTTAAATGACAAATGCTAGCAAACAACTAATCCGAAAAGTCTAAAATTTGGTAACAAACACATGTAGACCAACTATACACATAAACAGCATACCTTTTTTCCTTTAGATTTTGTTTTGCCCCTTATAGACGTAACTCCTTGATCAGACAATTTTGTCGGATTTAAACTATAGATGCCAGCTTGCACGATTGGTTGAGAACCAACAGTATGTAGATTCGATGAAGGCTTCTCAATAGCAGCTGCACGCATAGACCTTAAACGACCATTTACTGTATGTGCAAAATGTTTAGCCTCCTCAAGAGATGCGAAAGCAAGTCCAACTGGCCCATCATCTGACTGCAATACGTGAAAGCATTTTAGTTCCTCAGTATAATCCATTTCCAAAAATAATCTTTGCTCTAAGAGAGGAATTCTCCTCTATAAATATAGTTTGCATTGGAAACGAAGAAATGAGAGTTGACTTACAATCACATCGTATATTCTGATGAAATAATCCTTATAATTTTTGTCCTTGATACAACATACAACGCCACAACCTTTAAGCACCCAATTCGATTCATTTTCACCTTTGAAATAGCGTACCACAGCGGAAGCTAATGAATCGCAACCAGTTCCAAACAATGAATATAATACGGAATTCTCCTCGTTAGTTAGTAGAACCGAAGTTCCACCTACTGGAGCGGACTATCAAAGGTCAAAAGTAAATGTGTAGAATCAGAAAACGCGAAAACTGTATCTGAGTACGCCTTTTAAAGGGGAGTAAAACGAGAACGTCCCAGCCAAACAAAGAAATAGACAGGTTATGGTTCATAACAATACTTCCACAAGTAAAGCATCAGAAAAATGATTCTGCAGTACATTTTTGTTTCGTCAAAATCCATGGTGACAGTATACTACTAACGATCAAGATTACCGTTAACGTGATAGGATTGGACTAAAGAATATTCCGTGCAGGATTGTGTTTGGGTATGCTGATTGGCCATTTCTTAATTAATCAGTCCAAACGGATACTTGGAGAAGACTCCAGAATCCTCTTGTGTAAAATTCTAGTTATACTAACGTTCGTCTTATAATTCCTACTGACATTCAGCCTTGTTTGGTTCGGATATAATTACGTTCTTGTTCAGCTGGGTCGTAATGAGAGACCATAAAAATCACCCAAGGTAACTCCCGGATCGAGGACACTTCCTGAGCCCGTTTTATACATCTTAGAGATATGGGACTATGAGACCGATGCACAAATGGATACAGTGATTTTAAGTGTACGAAGTCCTTACTCCTCAATAACAAATATGACGAGTCGTTAAGTGCCTAAAATGAAATTAAAATGAATGCCGCTAAATATGAGCTGAAGCGATCAAAAGCACCAGTGTTATTCACTCACTTCCAGAAAAGAAACCATGTGTGAGGTTAGTTTTTACACAAAAGTTGCTTATACCAGTAATTTGGTAGATGAGTCAAAAACAATACAACATATTGATCTACAATTTTAAACCTTTCAAAACATCCAAGACTTTTTACAATCAAAATTTGGTAAAGTTTGCTAATATAACGCCTAACTTTTCTACAAAAAGATCCAAAATAAACATGGTATTTTAGAAGTCTACTCAATTTTATGACTGAGTGCACATGGTAAGCACAGATCTTTATTGACATGACGGAGAGTAGTGAAATTCAACCTGTAAATAGATGTCGTTTTCACAAAATTTACTCAAAAATAGAAGATAATAGACAAAAACACTAAACAAAGTTGTATAACTAGGAACACATGTTAGAAGTACATTAGGGTAAGCAATGAAAACTCCAGAAAATCAAGTTAGGGTTTGAGGCGAAATGAACAACCAGTAACCTCGGTTATAGTAAGTCTGAGAAGCAGTAAATCCATAAACACAGGTTTTATAATAATGATAGTTCACAAACAGATGATAAAGTAAAACAAGCGTACAGTGTAGAAATTACGTAAATATTTACGCTTGGATGGGTAATCGCCAAACTGACACGGTTGAACTTGCAAGTAATACGACGGAAATATTTACTGAAGGCACTCTGTGTTATATTCAATAAATATTTAAGTTATGAGAGTCACCAACCGATTTCGCATCTTCTGTAGCACATTTTATTGTCTACGAATTGCAATTCATCAGAGCTGTAACTACTAGTGGCTTCTGATTAGCGTGACTTGCTACTACACCCAGTGACATATATACTCAAGCCACTTTAAATCAGGAATATCAAAACAACAAGAAACCTGAGGCATATAAAATCGATTTTGTGCATTGATAGAGAAGTGTGTAGAGTACGATGTAAACGTACTCGCTTGGGTTTAGTACATACTAAAAAAACTTGAAAACTGGCCTGTGATAACAATGTTGGCCATTGGGATTCAACAAGTGGACACTAAGTCCTTAGTCAACACAACAGTACAGTACCAACAAAACCGACTCAGTGACCTGACTGAAATCGTAGTATACACAAAAAGAGGTCAGTGTTGAGTTCTGGTAGATTGTTTAATTTGAAACACTTTATTTAGGTATTTTCTAAACAAAATAATCTTAGAACAATTGATGACAGAGTAGAGACCGTCAGAGGGTTACGGTATGCTTGTTCGAATATAGAAAGACATGGGGCCAGTGAAGTTACTGCCAACACATCTTCAGGTCATCTAGGATTTCAGGTTTATCTTTTGCCCAAGAAACGAAGGTAGAGTGTATTGTCATGGCGGTAAGCTCAAACAAATATATATCCGGCGATCGCTGGAGCTATTATGGTCATTAAACCGTGACTGAAACATGTATGTACACATATATATTTCCGAACTACATACATGTGCACTAACGTTATACGATACTGAGGGACTGGGGAACAAGCATTTGCAATTTGGCTCAAACCTCTCCAGCATGAGGGTACTATCAATCGATAAGCACCATGCTAAATATAAACCATAGTGACAAACTACAAACCCTGAGCGGAGCCAGCTTTGTTCACATCAAGAATGATAATGGGAGCATCAGAGGATTAGAATAGTATAAGTGAACTCATTTATAATTTCACCTAAATCCTAAATTATCTGTGCTAAAACCCCACCAGATACAACCAGCACAACGAGGATCCAGACTTTAGAGACCATTAAATCATTAGAACTAGAAATTAGCACAAACAGTATAAAGTAAAGTAAATCCTACAAAGATATAAGAAAGGAGCATACCGTCCGCATTTCTTTGAAAGCGCGCTTTCCCGTGTCGTCGCACTCATACTTTTACTTCACCTGTTGAATAAATTCCACGCATTAACACAATGTACCCTGGTTCAGTTAATACAAATTCATTAAAAAGACCACATTAGTGGAGGACGACTTTGGTAAGGCTCAAGCGTTCTCGAACTACTTTAGCAACGTGTATACCATAGAAGCGCCCTTCTCGTCAGCGTATACAGATCCCCCCATACATACACTGGATAGCGTGACCATTAAAGAACTCGATGTCTTTGGTCTGCTAAATAAGCTTGACATAGGTAAATCCACGGGGCCCGATGAATTACATCCTAGGCTACTGAAGGAATTATCTAACTTCGTTGCGAACCCTTTAAGTACATGTTTTAACCTATCCGTTACGCAGGGTCGCTTACCGAAAGATTGGAAAAACGCCATAGTAAGTCCTGTCTTCAAAACAGGTACGAAACACAAACCTGAGAACTACCGCCCCGTTAGCCTAACTAGTGTGGTTGTTAAAATATTAGAAAAGATTATTCGAAAGGAGCTGTTTAAGTATCTCGATAAAAACCGGATCCTCTCGGAGAAGCAGCATGGCTTCAGAATAGGTTATTCTTGTCTCACTAACTTATTAGTGGCTCGTGAAAGCTGGTGTGCTCTTAAGGACCAAAAGCTACCTGTAGACGTCGCCTTCATTGATTTCAGTAAAGCTTTTGATAAAGTTCCGCACAACCGGCTGTTATATAAGTTAAGACATGTCGGGATTGGAGGTAATTTATTGATGTGGATAAAAGACTTCTTAGTTGGGCGTCAACAAAGAGTAAGGGTGAACTCAAAGTTATCTAGCTGGGAAACTGTGTTTAGTGGAGTGCCTCAGGGTACAGTTTTGGGGCCAGTGCTATTCCTCTTGTATGTAAATGACCTTCCTTGTCTCCTATCATCATCGGTCTTGCTATATGCTGACGATGTCAAGATATGGAGAACGATACGATGTAAGAGTGATAGCTTAGAACTTCAAAATGACCTGAAGAAGTTATCTGAATGGTCTCAAACATGGCAGTTGCCGATAAATACTTCCAAGTGTGTTGTGATGCATATCGGTCATCAAGGCACAGATACATACACGATGAATAACACTGAGCTACCTGTCGTCCAGACATATAATGACTTAGGAGTTATCGTTAGTCAAGACTTAAAGACTACTGCACACTGCCGTGCAATAGCCGCCAAAAGTTTTAGAACGTTATGGTCAATACGTAGGGCTTTTAGTCATGTCGACACTAAGACGTTTTTGACTTTGTATACAGTGTTCGTTCGTCCTAAACTTGAGTACTGCATACAAGCGGCTAGCCCCTGCTTTAAAAAAGACAGAGAGCTTCTGGAAAAGGTTCAGAGAATGGCGACTAAGCTGGTTCCCGCAATAGCGAAGCTTCCGTATGAATCTCGACTGGCCAAGCTGAACCTTTTCCCGTTGTCATATCGCAGAACTAGAGGCGACTTGATTACAGTCTACAAATTGCTTAGTGATAAATTTGCACCTAACATGCCCTCATTTTTCTTGTCTTCCAAAACAGAGAATTTACGAGGACACTCCAAAAAAGTTCATAAGCCGAGAACAAATTACTTGTCAGCTGACTATCGACTTTCCCATCGAATCATCAACGAGTGGAATTCACTACCTCAGCACGTGGTTGAGGCTCCATCCGTCGACTCTTTCAAAAGAAAGTTGGATCAATTGAGAGACCACCATTGCCAGGACTAACATAGGCCATCGAGCCTCCTGTCCTTCCCAAACTGAAACTGTAACAAAAAGTGAAGAATCCTTAAATACTTTGGTTTAAGGATATCTAAGACCACTTATAATCAATGTGTTCGAAACATGCTGAAGTTAACCGTTTGATTATTTTGCGACCATCTCTTAGTGTTAAGGCACTGTTCCGGCTCTTTGGTGCCGTCCAATGTAAGTACTCCAGCCACTCATTCGGCGTAATAATGAGTGGTGATGCTGATCATCCTGATCTCCAAATTGATTCAGACTAGTCAGATAATTTTGATGTCGTGTGCCGATAATTAGTTCCAGAAAGACTTTACTAGTACATATCAGTCACGGTAGTAACCACCAACACACACATAGTGAAAAAACACATCCATATTTGCAAAAACAAAAATGCGTTGCAGTAACTATAATCCAAAACCTGAAAACAACCGACCACAGAAGCTTAGTAACAGTTAAAATAATTCGTGTTTTATGGCACTTTTAAAGAGACTTCAGATGCTTTGACGATTTTGTGCATCGTACTTTACTCACCAACTATGTGAGACCACTAAAACAAATCTGCAGAAAAGTATTCAGCCCATACCTCAATAACGATGTTGAAAACTTGAGCATGTTCGACCAGTGATTACAAAATTAGTGACTAGGCTTTGAAACATCTAACAAACGTCATCAGCATCTAAACATTATTTGACTGAACAGACCTCGGTGCTGAAAGTTCTTATGATCTCTAGAATTCAGCCAGTAGATGCAACCAGTTCATCTACAGCGTTGTTTTGATGTTGAGGCAAGCGCTACCTGCACCTGTTGTGGTATTTCAGACAAGGAGATCTGTCTAAACAGGCCTATGCCAAAGGTTCGTTTGCCAATGACCTCAAGCATCCGTAACAACGTGTCCGCTGCTGAGCCACGTTGAAGAGCTGATCTAACTGTTGTCGGTCGGTTAGATTCTCACGCTTAAAAACAGCTTTTCGAGTTATGTGAAGTTCTGAGACATCGCTAGTAAACATACCAGGTATGACATACCTTTAAAAATCGTGAGGCAGCACCTCCACTACTGCAAGGAAATGTACACGTGTTCTGTGATGCCGTGTTCTTGAAAGTTAGCTTCTGAGTTGCAGAACCAAGCTTCGATGTTGTCGGTCAAGAATGGCATTAGCTGAGAGTGGCGAAAGGGTCTTGATATTAAATACCTTAGGATCAGTTCGGTCACTGTAAGATCTATTTTGAATGTTTTGTGTGTGTGTGTGTGTGTGAAAATCCCTCCATGTATATACTTGCACTTTGTTCCTATTGATTCCTTTAATTGCACATTTTGTTAGTCGTTTTGATTCCATTTGAGTCGGTAATATTTGTATTCTATTATAGTTTTTACTTTTCTTATGCATTCACTAAGTTTCCATGTTTCTTCCCGAACTGGATTTATGTTGTTTTACTTGACACCTAGTCTTGGCGGCAGCCATATTGGTTTGTTCCTCCTTTCGATTGTGTTGCTTGTATTGGCTGGAATTGTGCATTTTTGATTGTGAATTGAGGCACTCTTCCAGAATTGGAAACACTCTGTGTTAAAAAGCAACCAAATATTATCTTTTGAATGAATCTGTGCGTGATCTATCCAGACAGGATAGAACAACATTTAATTGTTACGATTGGTAATATTCTCGCACCCTTTATCAACTTCCTTATTTATTGTGATTTAGATTTGGTTAATTCAACAATTATTGGTTGAATATCTGGGTGACAATATTTGTCTAGATAACAATGTATACTTAAATGTACGATAAATTTCAGACCCGTCATTTTACCCAATCACTTTGTTTTGGTTTTAACCGGGCAAGGACGCGTATCTAACCCACCTAGACAGCTATTCTTCAGTCCAAAATATATTTGGGATCTTACAGCCATGATGAATCTAAAATGTATCGGTGAAGAAGAAAAAATATCCGAAAATTCTAAAAAGTATCATATTATGTAAAAAAAGTAAACTAAAAAATCGATATGAAGTTCCGTGGAGGAACAGACTCACAGTTTACGAATTGGTGTACCAGAATACGACGGGCTCACCACTAAAAGTGTCACAAGTAATCGGAGTTTGACAACGCCTTAATACGTAACAACTTCTATAATCGAAACATGCCAACCTAGTGAAATCAAAAGTCAGAAGCGAAGAGGTTCGAGGATATATTTAATAAATTTGATCAATCTAAGCTGGCTAACTGTTGTGAGGGATGTGTAGCACGGCGTACTCACTCGCGATCTAGTTTGGAGGCTTGACTGAATGCCTTCAGTTAGGTGTGTTCATTCAAACTAACGAGGTCAGCATCAAATGTCGAAGAATTACAGAGCTATTGATTTTGGGGACTTATTAACCGCCACCTCGTCATCGTGGGATCGCATTTTTGTCGTCGGATAGTCGTCGAATGTTTGAACATGATATACTAGCTATACCATTTCAAATGTATGTGGATAAAACTGGACCTCTAGAGTACCATTTATCATGGGTTTTGAACAAGTCATGTTGATAACTGAGGACTGTACTTTGAGACTGCTTATTGTGTGTGGGATTTCGCAATTGTATAGCTATTCAAACGATTTGTTTCTTGCCTTAAGGTTCCTGTTTATATGATTAGTTAATAAAACGCGCAAAATATTGATTTAAATATCGTCGTAATTATATGATCAAATTGTTTTCGATCCGACTGGCTGTGCTACTCTACACTTTGTACGTCGCTCCAAGACTCATGTGTCTTGGAGTTAGTTTCGGGATGGAGACGTGTATTGTTGTCCTTAGGTAAGACTAATGTGGGACTGAAAGTGTGAACATGGTTTTCATGTTTGTCACGAATTTATAAGACGACAATTTGAACCGTTATGTGTCATCTCTAGGACGAATTTTTGCCATTCAACTTCGATCTCTATAAAATATATGTTTTCTATCACTCATTGCGTAATTAGGGTACTACCACACACTGTATCATAACAAAATACTACTCTTTCGCTATATCCGGTTCTCCTAATCTTATATTGGTATCCATACCTACAGATGAAAACAATCCAACTGCAACGTATATTTAACGTTTCTCTATTCAACTTACACCTTTTTAACAATCCGTGAACGTTAACTGAAAATATTGAAAAAGGATTACCAAAATAATTTTCTAAAGAAGGCTGATCTATTTTTCTGTTTTATCATCCGATGTCAATTTGCGATTCTACAGAGTGTATCCAACTGCGATTACAACGTCAAACAACACGAATATTGACAGATTGAGTAGATATGTAGTTGTGGACTATCGAATCATAGAAGCAAAGAGAATAACAAATAGCTTTTCTTCTGTGCTGGTTCATGCCATTATGGATGTCAATGAAAACATTCA